TGCATTTGGCTTTTTGAAGTGGAAGTCTGTGTGCTCCTAGCATCAGTACCTGTCTCTGGCAATCATTCTTGAAATACAGACAATTCTCAAGTGGTGGTGTTTTGGTTTTTTTTAACCTCCTGAAATCCCATTTAACCTAAGTGATCCTCATGTCAGTGATCAGAGGTGAAGGTCAGAATGCAGGGCATGTATCTGAAACTTAGTAAGGAGAGAGGAGGCCACTGTTGTCCTCCAGAAACACTATTCTACAACCATTCTTTGAGAGGATGCATTATAGCTATATCTGTTATGAACTATATAGTCTCATTTTTATAACAGAAACTTTTTCTTTCTACTTAGATGGCTTCATCTTTTTTCTTTCTAGATCATTGTTTAAGGGTCAGTGTTGTCCATCCAGGAATTAGCAAATGGTACTGGAATTTATATTTCTCTTTCTTAGACTGGTAATTCAATTCTTTATACATGCTTTTGATCTAATTTCCTTTGTCTAATCTGCCGGGAAAACGTGTTTCTATAAATCATAGAGAACAGTGACTACAGGATGACTGTAAACTTATTGACATGTTCTGTGTAATATAAGACCTTTCTTAAAGCAAAGCAGTTTTTTTTCCCTATACTTTTGTTGCATTATAGTTCAAGGCTGTATTAAATGTTACTGTATTTCTTTTCAGATATGAAACAAATTGAAATATCCATGTAACCAAGCTTGTGACTTGTACGTTATATTTGCTGGAAAACTTAAGATCCAGACAAGCATGTGATAAATTGAGGAGGGCTTTTTGTTGCTGTTGGCGTTGCAACTCACTCTGGTTTTAAAAGAATCGGTGTATCGGTTTTAACTTGTATTCACTAGCCATTGCAGTCTGTCATGGTGCCTGATTTTGAGATAAAGGGATAGTTGAGAATCAGTTATACAGGTAACTTCAAGCATTACAGAATAAAAAGAGCAATTTAACACTTGTGCTTCAAGGATAAGGTCTTGGTTTTTCTGCATGGTAAACTTCAGGATTAACTTTTCCTCATTTTAGTTTCTTTGCTTTATTGCTCCTCCTGTGCCTCATTCTACCAGCATGTTGGGAAAACACATTGTTTTATTCTGAATGTGATATAGCTGTGTGTCCAACCATAGAAACTGTAACAACACTTTTGCTGAAACTAAATCAGTGTCTCACTAGTTGAGTTGTCAGTTTTGAAGTTCCTGGAATTCTGAAACAAAAGGATTGACTCTTTGAAAGGCCAGTGGAGGGTGTTACTGTTTCAAGGAGATAACATATGAATTTCCTTTGCTTATTCTCAGCTCATTTATCTAGCAAACACCTCCTGAGATGCTAAAGCCTTATCAGTTCCTTGTAGACATAGACTTGCTTCTGGTTTTGTCCCTTTGAGTGTAGAGATTTGCCCTATTGTTCCTAACAAGAACTTGCTTTATTGGATAATAACACATATGCAGAAGGAAACATACACTTACTATCTATCTGTGTCACCTTCAGCTGCTTTTCAGTAACACCCTGTATCTCTGAGAACTTTTCATGTACTGGGAAAGGGAGCCAGGTTTCTTCCCCCCTGTTTTTTTTCTTTTTTCTGCCCAATCTTATCTATCTGTCAGAAAACTCCCCAGTTTATTTTTATAGTTACTTTAGAAAAACTAGATTGTTTCTTTTGTTCCTGTAATTTATGTGGTTACAGGAAGTAGCCATCAGTAGAAATACTGGATCTGACTCTTTGCCATTTCAGGGCTTTATTTATCATTTACTGTAAAAAGATCTCCTAAGACCAATGTAGATAGAATGATACCTGAGCATCAGATTCCTTTATGGTTCATAAACAATTTTTTGGGGGCTTATTATGCATGAATACAGAGAGGTTTACTAGTGTAATTGAAGCACCATTTTCTGGAAATACTACAGTAAGTCCCTTCTACAAAAACTAGCACAACCAGTTTAAAAAAAAAACAAACCCACAAACAAAAACTAAAAACTTGTGCGTTGTTATGAAGCATTTATTTAGGTTTAGTTTCTTTTTTTTCATTGTCATTTATCTAAAGACAGTTTAAAAATTGAGCCATTTGTAATAAAATGAAAAAAAAATCCACCACAAAACCCTTTGAACTAGCTATGTCCTGGTTTTGGCTGACCATCTTTGGGTGGGTTTTTCTTTTTGTTTTATAAAAATATTTATTTAACTTTGTGGGTGTTCTTACCCTGTGCATTGATTTCAGAAATATCTTAGTATTTCTTAGCAGTTTTTCAAAAGCATTTGAAGAAACTTTCTGGTAAAAGCGATGGGATAATATATATGTTTGGAATGTTGATAAATACTTCTTAATTTTGTAATAGTAATCAACTTCTCATGCAGAAGTCTCATGCAATATATATATATAAACATTTGGGCCACTGTGATTGGGAGAGAAAAGACTGATGTGATGCTACTTTGGTTTTCTTTCCTGTTAGTTTGGTGAACATGATGTGGTTTAGCCAATTGGATAATATGTAATAAAACCAGCAGTACTCTGAAGTCTAGAATTTTTTCTAGTTAGTCAAAACTAAAGTTGAGTATCAAGTGCAGAAATATTTTTTTTCTTTTATTCTGTATATCCATTTGCTAATTGTTATTCAGTGCTAGGTAATCTCTACAACTTGCATTTTAGTCACTCACATCTTACAGCTATTTCTTGTATTTTGGGTGATTTACATCTATAGCAATAACTTCAGAAATTTTCAGTCAATGGGCTGCCTTGAAACTTATGCAAGAACAGTTTTCATTATAACTGCTTCATTTTGGAGATTTATATTTTTGCTTCTTAAAATGTTCTACTTGGAAAATATGTAGTATTCAGAATACTCAGTCATGAGTTTTATTAAGTATTAATCCTGCAGTTTTGCTTAAAGTTTATTTTGTAATGCACAAAGACTGAAATCTAGAAATACGTATATACATATATGTGCACTAGGAGTATGGGAATCAAGGCTTCCTTACTTTGTCTATTAAGAATGCTCTAGGTTTAATTTTTATTCAGTTTGAAAGTGTGGTTTGTTATCTAGGTTAAGGTGTGGCAGTTTCCCCTAACAAAGTATGTTTTCTCTGGTTTACTGTTATAACTCTTATTAAAATAAAGCAACAAAGGAAGAAATGTAGTTTTACAGTTTGGTCTAACAAATTACAGTGTGCATTATATACAGCCATTTTCAGTGGTTATCAAAAAAAAAATCAAAGCATTTGGGTTAAATAAGATATATTTTAAGATTCAAGTTAGCTAATTATGTGAAGCAGCTGTACACTTCCAGTACACAGTCTGAAATTTTTATCTGTGAGCTAGCCTAATTTGTAGAGTGTTTTTGTTGTTATTAAATGGAAATTGTTTGGTTAATAGTGCTATATTGAAAGTGGACTGAAGTGGTGATCTAGAATGAGTAAAGATGGAATGCGAGTGAAATGCATCGCCTGGTTTTTGGATTTCTGAATTCCACATTTTGTTTCCATAGGTGTGTCACAATTCAGCATTTACTCTGTCGTTCACTGGCCAGCTCTTAAGTGGTTTAAATGTTATTTGTTGCTGGTTGCAGGCATTAAAATTGTGCATCTGTTGCTGTATCTCTCATCCATGTTAAAGTCTCATTGTAATTCTTTTGTTATAACGAAATAATTAGTCCCCAAAAGCATGTGGCATTTAAGTATTCACATCATTCTGTTTTCCTCCCCCAAGATGCAGAATCGGATGGCAATATTGCTCTGTAACTTGAAGCCTGCAAAGATGAGAGGAGTAGTATCTCAAGCAATGGTGATGTGTGCCAGCTCCCCAGAAAAAGTGGAAATTCTGGCTCCCCCACCTGGGGCAGTACCTGGGGATAGAATCACTTTTGAAGGTTTTCCTGGTGAGTAGGAATTTGGGAAATTGGAGGAAATAGGTATGCCAAGGTGACCTCAGTGTTGAAGCAGATAAAACAGTATTTTAAAGTTGGGTGCATTTTTTTTTTGTTGCAATTTTCTGAATTAGTTACATTCGATTTTTTTTTTATTATTCTCATGCTAACTCTGTGTAAATAAAGGATTGAAAATACTTAACCACTTGTCAAAAATTGGAAAATACAGGGAAATAACTGTAACTTGAAAAAGTTGTATAGTACTTTAATATAAAATTACCCGCTCAATAGGTCTCAATAAGTATTTCTGCTTTTGAAATGTATGGACAAATATAATTCGCACTAAGTAAGTAAACATAAAGTATCTTTCCCAGTGTCTCGTTGTAAGTGATGAATAAGTTCCTGATTCCACTGCTTCCCCTTAAATGAAAGTGTCTGAACTTGAGATAAGCTTGGGTTTTTGTTTTGAGGAGGAGAAAGGGATGGGGAGGATTGAAGTGGGTAGAAATTTCCTGTTTATGAGAGGAACCTATAATATTCAAAACACCAGGGATATTTTGTTGGTTTGTCTGGGAGGAAGTGGCTTTTGGGTCTCCAAAGACAGACATTGGTCTTCTTCCCACTTAATTAAATCAATAAATCCATATTTTCAGAATATAACTAAGAAAGCCACATTTAAACTTTCTCAAAAGATGATTTTTCATCCATTTTCCCCACTTCTTCCACCTCCCACTCAACTATGAAAATGATTGTTTGCTGACCCTGAATGTTGGAAACTCAAATAAGCATCACAGATGTAGCATGTTGGTGAATGCTTCCCTCCTACCTGAATGCCAGTTTGTTATTCTCACAGGCTAAAAGGGATATGGTCAGATTCAGCTTTTCCAGTTACTGTCTTTGTTAGCACTGTTGCTTTATTAATCTCTGTCATGGTTTTAAGTGTTTTTCATCAGGAGGCACTGCTCCTTTGTGATCTCAGTCAGAAAGGCACTCAGACTCTGTAAAGTATCATTTAAAATGCTATTTATTAGAGCTGACATGGAGAAGAGAGAATACTATAAATAATCTTACTTCATATAGATAATGGGAACCCTGAGTTGATGCAGCATCAAACATGCTTCTGATCCATGTGCAGCATGCTGTGCGCTCCCTGTCCGTAGAAGAGATTCCCCAAAGAGAAGTGGTCACTTGAGCTATTGTTGTATTTTCTTATTCATTTTGACTGTCAAACAGAAAGGAAGTTTGCCTGAGAACTTGACGCTGCACTGTCACGTGAAGGTGAGGACACGCAAGTGGCTCAGTTGCTGATACTAGATGGGAGCTGCCTGCAGGCTCCTCTGTTACAATCAGCTGGCTAGGCTTATCCTGTGCCCCAGGAATTTGTGCAGCACAGTGCAAGCCTAGACCTACTCAGGATCAACTGTTACATGGGTCACTGAGATATTGATGAACAGTGGTCTTCTGGTCAGGATCACTGCATCACTTTATCTTAAGAAAAAAAACCAAAGGTCTAACTCCCAGTATTTCCCATATTGGGAAATGCATGTGCATTTATCAACAAAGTATTCAGGATGAATTTGTTGCTCAAAAGTTGGCTTTCACAAGGAGAAAATGGTGTAGCTTTCTGTTTTCTACATAGAAGCATAACCTTCTTAAACTATTGCACCTCTGACAATTTCTAGCTGTACAGCAGTGTTTTTATTTATGAATCTCTTGGCAAGCTCTGTGCTTAAAGGTATTTGCATGAAATACCTTTCTTAAATGTATACGTATATGTAAGTATATAGATATCTTTATACTTTTCATTATTGGAACTGTGATGCTCTGAAAATATATTTTGGTTGACATACAATGCAATGGTCTCTCTAGATGTTTTTGAAACAGGATGTAGTGGGTTGACCCTGGCTGAGGGC